GAGATTTTAGACAATTAAATTGATGTTTACAAGGCAATAATTAACACTGAGAACCAAAGTATTCATAAAACTGTTCTTAGGCTCAATGAGCATTAGTGTAATAGACGCAGAGGCCATGTCTGCAATCGGCAGGGCCTGCTTCTGGTGCATTCGCTTGTGCCTCACTATCGACGGCTGGCTCCGTATGCCAGCCCAGCCCAGACAGTTTATACTGATTAGAAGCCTGCTCTCTCTGCTGGGCAGACGTCATATACAGAGCTCAGCCAAGTTAGCTGGTTAACTGTGCTCAGAGAGATCAGAGGTGATGGCTGGTCCTTGTGGTGGAATGAGCTTTTCATAATCAAAACCATCTTTTATTCACTAGCTGACTATATCATGAAAAAAAAATTTTTTTTTTTGGAGAGATTTTCGCTATAGGGCGCATGTGCTCGCCAGACAGACAGAGAGAGAAAGAGAGACAGAAAGCGAGAAATCACCCCCCAGCGGGGATGGTCACGCCGCAATCCCTTCTCCTCCATTCTCCTCTTGGGATCTTGGGCATGCACGCACATGCGCCTGGTGTGAGTTTTAAGCCACCGGGTCCAGGACATGAACCGCGGTTGACTACGTGGGAGTCCAGCGACATAGCCATTATGCTAACTGCTGGTTCCCTATCATGAAAAAATTTTGAGAAAGGCTTTACCATCTCTAAATATTTATTTACTCTTCCCATATCTTCTTTGGTGAAATGTCCATTTAAATATATTGTTTGTTTTCTTATTATTGAGTTTTCAGACTATGTTTCAAAGCATTGTGGATACAAATTGTTGATCAGATACTTGATTAATGCAAGTATTTTCTCCTAGTCCAAGGTATGTCCTTTGCACTTTTCTTAAGAGTATGTTATGAATGGGACCAGCAGTTGGTGTTATGACTATGTTGCTGGACTCCCCTGTAGTTGACCGTGGTTCAAGTCCTGGACCTGGTGGCTTAAACTCATGCTGGGTGCAGGCGCATGCGTGCCCAAGATCGCAAGAGGAGAATGGAGGAAAAGAGATTGCGGCATGGCCATCCACCCTGGAGGGTGATTTCTCACTTTCTGTCTCTCTGTCTCTCTGTCTTTCTGGTGAGCACATGTGCCCTATAGTAAAAAATCTCTCTCTCAAAAAAAGGGGGAGACCAGCAGTTGGTGTAATGGCTATGTTGCTGGACTCCCATGCAGTTGACTGTGATTCGAGTCCGGGACCCAGTGGTTTAAATTCACATAGTGAAAACCTCTCAAAAAAAAAAAAAAAAAAAAAAGAGTATGTTATGAACAAGTCATTGATCACATGCAACCTGAGTACCTAAAGTATTTAGTACCATCTAACCTGCTTAAATATCAGTTTTGTTAACTGCACCCAAGACCATGCAAATGTGTGGTGATATTCCCCTGTGCCTGTGTGTCCATATGTTTAGGCAACATTTATATACAATGGGACTTTTAAAAAATGTATGTAGAAAGCAAAATCAAAGTACACATTTATTTTACTAAATTTAAAAAAAAATCAATGTATAGTTTTTCTATAGCATGCATTTTCCACGAACTTATTAAAGACTCCCTCATAGTTACATACTAGTAAGATGTTCACTAGGGTCTTAGATGGCACTACTCCTAATCCATGCCCGTGGAAGCACAGCATGCTCTTGGACAATAATTTCCTTGAATTCCCAAGGGATGGGAGAAAGTGGCTCTTTCCTCATTCTGCCCTCCATCTCTAATTTGCTTCATTTATGAAGACCTGGACACCCATGCTTGTTTCCTAAGCTAGTTTTATCACAGATCTGGACAATTCCTATCAATTACACACAGAAATTCTATCCAGCTAAGGATTGTATGTGTGTAGCCCTCTTTAATGAAGGTTTGGAGAGGATGGCAGTGTTTCCTATCACTGCACAAAATTTCACATTGTACCGTTCTCAGAAATCCACTGTTGATTCCCACCAGGAGTTTCACTGTCTGCCTTGTTCCCGGGAGCACCACACCTTCAGAGTACTAGGGAGTTTCTCTTGGTCTCTTCTCCTTAGAGCAATAAACTGACGCATGAAAATATACTACAGATTTTTTAATCTTTGATGTTGCCAGATCTGTAACCTCAGGAGCTCACCTTCATCTGAAGAGGCTCGTTTAGATAGTTTTCTAAACAAAGAATGCTCTTCTTGTGATATATTCTGCTGCCAGCTAAAATAATGTCATCACTTTCCCTTTCATATTTAGTTATAAGTTTAGTTATCTTGAGAGAGAGGGAGAGAGGCGCTTGCAACAGGGTACAGTCACACTGCTATCTGCTTCCTCCAGCCCTCAAGCTCACCAGGATCTTGGGCACATGTGCAGGTACGCCCCGTGCTTTTTAGGTTGGCCAGACATCATCTGAATCTGTGCTCAGCCCTGTGGCTTCCAGCACTATAGTTTGTCCACAGGGCTGGGCCTAGAATCCATTTTAATAATTATTCATCCTCTATTGGTGATGAACACACTTTTGGTATTCTGGGTAGGCTGACATGCTCAGATATCACACAGTATTTGTAATTCTGCAGAAGAAGCCTTTATTTTTATTCTTCTGGCCCCAACATAGAGGCAGAGCAGGGTTTTCCAGGGACTGGGCCAGTTGAACTGTTTGGTACATGGAAGGCAGTAGGTTCATTGCAGAGAGACGCTTCCTTAGCATCCTCTTGGATGGTTAAGCACTGTCTAGACGAGTGTTTATTCACACTGATCTTGTCCTTAACTTCCAGGCAAAAGGCAATCTGCCAGAAGAAGAGTTTTTGAAAGAGCCGGGGTAGGGATTTGGGGGAGGAGGGCAGGTTGATTGTTTGATGGGCCTCTTGATTGATTTGAGTCAGTCACCGCAAGCCCACCAGGATGGCACTTTTCGATTGCACAGCTGATGTGTTGTCCATTTTGAGCTCGAAGAACAGACCCTAAGTTCATTGACTGTCCAATAGTAGCTTCTTTGGAACACCTGACGGATTTCTTTGGATGGATGACTCTTATAGATGGCTCTCAGATTTCTGTATGGCTCTAGAAGAAAATACCTAGGCGTAGATACTCATGATTCTTCCCTTTATACTCCTTTTTAAAACCTCTACTCAGTAACTATATGACTTTGAGGCAATTTCTAAACCTCTTTGAGACTTTGTTTCCTGTCTTGTAACATGGACACTGATATAATTGTACCCACTGGAGGGGTGCCTGCGAAGAGGATTAAATCGAATTATGCACATTGGGGCTCAGCATAGTGCCTGTTTCATTAGAGTCTCTCAGTAAATGGCAGCCACTAATGACAATAGCTGTAATCACCCACGTTCCCTACCCAGTTGGCACATCCTGGCCAGATACCCAAAGAGCTCCTAGGAAAGTTTGACTTTCCTGGTGTAAACCCTAGGGGAAATTAATGTCCTCTTTATTTCACCTGAATTTCCCTTCCTCCATGCTTCTTTAGCTTTTTTGCTTGCCTTAAAATTCAATCTGCTGCTCTCGTCTTAGATTTAACCTTTAAGGAGTAGGTGGCTTCAGAGATACAGAGCAACAAAAACACAGAGGGAATATTTCTGAAATTCTTTTTTTTTTTTTAGATAGATTTTTGCTATAGGGCACATGAGCTCGCCAGAGAGACAGAAGGCAAGAAATCACCCCCAGAGAAGATGGCCATGCCGCAATCCCTTCTCCTCCATTCTCCTGTCAGGATTTCAGGCACACACGCACATGTGCCTGGAGTGAGTTTTAAGTCACTGGATCAAGGACTTGAACCATGGTCGGCTATGTGGGAGTCCAGCAACATAACCATTATGCCATCTGTTGGTTCCAATATTTCTGAAATTCTAAATGAAGGAAGTAGAGGGGAGCGCATGGGTGTTTGGAGAAATATAGAGACAATTAGCCCAATAGGTAGAGTATAAGGCAGGATTCTTCTCCCTCATCTTGGTCTGTGTCTCTATCATGAATCCTGAGTCCTGGGTGCAGACAGGGATAAGAGACCCACATATCTTTTTTTTTTTTTTTGGAGAGATTTTCACTGTAGGGCGCGTGCGCTCGCCAGACAGACAGAGAGAGACATAGAGACAGAAAGCGAGAAATCACCCCCCAGGGGGGATGGTCACACCGCAATCCCTTCTCCTCCATTCTCCTCTCGGGATCCTGGGCACGCACGCACACGCGCCCGGCGTGAGTTTTAAGCCACCGGGTCTGGGACACGAACCGCGGTCGACTACGTGGGAGTCCAGCGACATAGCCATTACGCTAACTGCTGGTTCCCAAGAGACCCACATATCTTGACTATTCACTGAAAAGCACAATAAAGGGACTCTGACTTAATAGTGTCATGGAAGTGCCTGGGACTTCTCTCTCTCAAGCTTGGGGGTACACAGATAGCTGAAAATCCTGCCACAGGCACAGCATGCCCCAGAAACCAGGGAAGGGATTAGGGTGAACACAAGAAATGCATTTCCTCTGGCTACCCTGATGACCAGCCCAGAGAACCTGAACCACAGGTAGGAGGAGTGGGCAACCCAGGGTCTAGTTCCAGAGCCACTTGCCCGCCTTTTTCCTTTGAGTCCCATAGCAGTTCATGCCACATTGATTTCCCTGTAAGGTTCAGGTTCCCTTATCATCTCTTATCTTGTATATTCCATGTGGTTTCCTTGAATTTTAATTTTTTCAAAGGTGGAGACCACAAACTATACACCTTTGGAGGTACTTGCTAACAGAGAGCTGTTTTTAAATATGAGTGATTACATACATCAAGTTGAAATGAAAATTGCCATATTGACTTTTATATCACAAATAATTTATTTACAAGGTTTACATTTTATAAAAGTAGAAACAAAATAACTTAATTCATAAATTAATTTAAAAAATTGTAAAGTTTTCTATTGTCCTTTCAAATGCAGTGCATTTGCTATCAGTCCTTAAGGAGGAGTCTCTGTTAGTGGAAGAAAGGGCTTGAAATTGCCTGGTCCCTGAGACACAAGCCCGGAGATCTTCAGTCTCGGAGGTAGTCTATAAGTCTGTTAATGAACAAAAAGTTCCTGAGGATTTCCACTCGGACTATCGTCCAGGCACAGCTGCTGTACTCCTTGGCCTTCAGGTATTGTGTAATCCTCAAATAATAGCTCTTCAGGTGCATGACGCTCATGCTGTTTCCCCAGGTGACGTTTTCCTCCTCTAGCTTTTCTTCCAGCATGGTTTCCAAGTGGTCCATCTGCCAAAAGAGTTGAGCAAGGAGGTGCTCTACAATGGTATCATTCCAGCCAGTGCTAGAGAAATTTCTTCTGAAAACACCAAAGATGTTCTGGAGCATCTCATGGATGACCAATGTAGCGTTCTCTTTCTGGAACTGCTGTGGTCGTTGAATTTCCTCAGGGACCTCGAAGCTCATACGGTCCTTGAGGCAGTCTTCAGGTACGCCACCCAACTGCTGTAGGAACTTCTTACACGCCAAACTGCTGCCACTTAGTTGGAATCGAAGCATGTTGTAGCTCAGAGAAAGAGTGGTGGTGGAGAGGCACAACAGGAGAGCGATTTGGAGGATGCTTCTGTAGAACATGATGAAAACAGGAGCAGTGTTGTCGACTACCTGGGCACCAGAGCAACGTCTTCACAGGTCTGCAGTGCGAATGTCCTTCCTCCATGGGCATGGGCTATTTATACAGGCTGGTCCTCCCTCTATCGAAAGGAATTTCCCACTTTCAGTTCTCCCTTTCAGTTTTCCTATGTCATGTAAAATATTAGTACTGTAGTTTCTAAGCTTTTTTGTCTAAGTTCCTAACTAGTTTATGTTATGTACCTATATTAGGGGAAAATATACACAAATTGCAAAGATTTCTATTGTTTTGTGAGGTTTCAGTGAATTATCAAAGCAAAGGAGGGTGGGGGAGTACCTGGGACAAAGCAAAGGAAAGCAAAGGACCTGAGAACTCAAGAACCCCAAAATAGTCATGAAGTATTCAGTCAAAAGGCAATCAAATAGCAGCAGCTGGAAGGGATTTTATTCAGTGCGGTAGCAGGTGAGTGTGAGGGGCCTCAGTAAGTTCTGAGAGACCCTGAAATAACCTGGGGTTATTCAACCCAATAAGCTATGCTTTCCTTTTGGGACAAGGATTTACTCTGAGGCTCTTCCTCTGCTATAGGTGGAATCAAATTTGAGCAGGATAGAATCAACAGAAATAAGAGAAGAGAACACTGGACCAGAGTGCTGGTAGACAAGTCTGAAAGCAAGATGCCATGTTACTGAACACTTTACAAAAGCAACAGTAGGGGGAGCTCTGTGACGTGAGAAACACCACTGTGACCCACAAGTAGAAGTTCACAAAAATTAAGTTCCTTTAAAACTGTACAGTGTATTCTGGATGCAAAATTGCATTTTGTATGCTGTGATCATGTTCAGTGAATGAATATAAAATAAATATTAAAAAACTGAGCAGAAAATATTGAGGTGAAATCTCATACGAAGTTATTATTAGGAAAAAAAGAGAACGAGGAGTAGAATAATGAAGAATAATGAAAATGTCCAAGAAATACATGAACGCAAATAAAAAACATAACATATTGTGACCAAAAGACTTTAAGAATATTAAGGAATTCCAGTGAACAACATAAGTCAATATTGGAAAAGCTCAGAAATAATATACGTAGAAAACTGAAAATAAAAGAAAAAGTTCTAAATTTTGCTTAATACAATCACAAGAAGTGAGAAGTTTTGACAAATCTGGCATTGGAGAAAAGCTTCAGTATGGGAGAAAATAGGAGCAAGTAAATTACAGCAGTGCATAAAAGTAGTATATATTGACCAAAAGGAGGTATTTCCAGGAAAGTGAGGATGATTCAATATTTCTTTTGAGACGTTTTTGCTATAGGGCACGTGCACTCGCCAGAAAGATAGAGAGAGACAGAGACACAGAAAGCAAGAAATCACCCCCCAGGGGGGATGACCACGCCACAATCCCTTCTCCTCCATTCTCCTCTCGGGATCTTGGGCACGCACGCACACGTGCCTGGTGTGAGTTTAAGCCACCGGGTCCCAGACTTGAACCGCAGTTGACTACATAGAAGTCCAGCGACATAGCCATTATGCCAAATGTTGGTCCCAGGGGATGATTTAATATTATATTGTCAGTATAACATTATACAGAGAAGATTATGAAGTCAAATGGCCAATCGATTAAAAAAATGTACTGTATTAAAATAATAGTTGAGTGAGGCCAGCAAATGGTGTAGTGGTTACAGTGCTGGACTCCCACACGGTCAACCACAGTGTGAGTCCTGGATCCGGCAGCTTAAAACTCACGCTGGGGTGCGGCCAGCAGGTGGCATGGTGGTTGAGGGTGTTGGACTCTCACATGGTCAACCATGGTTCAAGACCTGGGCCTGGTGGCTTGCTCTCTCTCCCCCCCCCTTTCTGGTATAAATAAATATAAATAAATAAATAAAAACTCACACTGGGCACATGTGCATGCGTGCCCAAAATCCTGAGAGGAAAAAGGAGGAGAAAGGATTGCGGCATGGCCATCCCCCTGGTGGGTGATTTCTCACTTTCTGTCTCTCTGTCTCTCTTTGTATCTCTGGCAAGTGCATGTGCCCTATAGCAAAAATCTTTCTAAAATAATAATAATAATATTGGAGTAAGAGAGACCCTTACTAGAAACTAGGGTTAACTGGTGGCATGGTAGTTAAGATGGCCGAATCCCAGATGGCCTTTTCAAGTCCTAGACCAGATGACTAAAAGACATACCAGGTGGGTATGTGTGCATGCCCAAAATCCGGAGAGAAGAGACTGCAGAGTGACAATGCTTCATGGAGAGTACTTTCTCACTTGCCCTGTTTCACTCTGTCTCTGGTGAGAGCACGTATTTCTAGCAAGTTAAAAAAAATAAACTATAATAGAAAATATTGATAAATCACTATAAAAATAATAAGTTTCAATATTGCAAAAAAATTTTCAAAAGAAGAGTGGTGTCAAAATATTGACAATGCATAATAAAATATGGATAAGTTTCTTCACTTAAAAAAATCCTAAAATGAATAACAATCCAATAGAAAAGTTTATAAATAGCCAGAGGCCAGGAAAAGAAATCTAAGGGTAAAATAAAGATATGAAACTCTACTCAATGTTACTGTTTAAGAAATGTCAATCAGTGCCAGCTGATGGCATAGTGGCTAAACCACTGTATCCCACATGGCCAACTTCGTGGTTTGAGTCTGGAACCAGGAGGTTGAAAATTATACTGGGCACGTGTGCGTTTGCCCAAAAAAATCCCAAGCAGAGAATGAAGACAAGGGATTGTGGCATGGCCAGTCCTCCCAGGAAAGGGGTGATTTCTCACTTTCCATCTCTCTCTCTCTGTCTCCCTCAAGCAAGCGCATGCACCCTATTGCAAAAGCTGAAGGAAAATAAAGGGAGAGAGAGAAAAGAGAAAAACAGAAATGTAAATCGAACTAGTAATAAGGTAGCCATTTCCCACCAATCAGATTTGGAAGAAGCATGGGAAAGTGGGTATTCTAATGTCTCTCAATGAAAGTATAAATTTAGGCAAACCCTTTGGAGAGTGGGGTTGTTTTTCAAAAATAGATGGAATAGGTCCCACGTCACATGACAATCTGTAATATGACTTTGATTCGACCCATCATGATGGGGGTTCTCTGTCTCCTTTTCTGGAATCTGTGTAGACGTCCACAGTGGAAACAAAGCTGCATAATTATTGAGGTTAGATCAGAAAAAAATGCCAGAGTATCTACCTGCTTAGTTAGAATCCTTGCTGTTGATGCCTTCAGCCACCATGTTAGTGGTGTGATTGGCCTGAGCCCGCTGTGCCCAAACCAGCTCACAGAAAAAGACCATGTAGACATATGCAAGGCATTTCAAAATTCAAAATTTCAAGCAATGAAATTGTCTTTTTACCCTGCAGTGCCATGGCTAGGCAGTTACCTAGTTTACTCTGCTGAAGTGAGGGCGCGTGCACACGTGTGTGTGTGTGTGTGTGTGTGTGATATACACATACGCAATGTAATGAACATTGTAGAACTGCGTAGTAAAAAGACAAATACCCATCAGCAGAAAGCTGGTTAAATAGCAGTGTAGTACAGGCTACAAAAAACAGTCTGTAGTCATTCAAAGAAAGATTAGCTGGTGTGCAGCAGTTAGCGTAATGGCTATGTCGCTAGTCTCCCATGTAGTTGACCGTGATTCGTATCCTGGACCTGGTGGCTTAAAACTCATGCCGGGCACTTGTGCGTGCGTGCCCAAGATCCCAAGAGGAGAATGGAGGAGAAGGGATTGTGGCGTGGCCATCCCCCCTGGGGGGTGATTTCTCACTTTCTGTCTCTCTGTCTCTGTCTGTCTGGTGAGCGCATGCACCTTATAACAAAAAATCTCTTCAAAAAAAAAAAAAGAAAGAGAGAAAGAAAGAAAGAAAGATTAGCTGGTATGGATCTAGACCACAGATCTATCTAATGAAAAGAGCAGTACATATAATAATGGGTACGGCATTATTTGTTTTATTAATCAATAGAAAGCTATATATTTTAATGGTGATATATCCTATGATGTTCTTTTCCCCAGGGCATGTTCTCTCCTCTATTAATAGAGTTGCTGTAGGAGATAATGCTGACAGGGGTGAGAATGCAGCAAGGAAGAAAGAAGTTTCCCTTTTCACTTTGTAGCCTTTAGGGCTGTTTGTATTTAAGTTTTCCCCGGTGAGGACAAGATAGCTGGGAGATAGAATTATTGAGTATCTTTGTAATTAAGTGCCCTTTATTTGTCTGAGGAACTCAATAAATGCTACTGAACTCTCACCTTTCTTTTGTTGTATTCAGATTTTAAACATTCTATAACTAACATACATATTATTTGTGTCATTAGAAAAAAAAGTCAAAAAACACCAGTTTGTATCAAAAAGCAAGACATAAAATAGTACATGTAGAAAAGTTATGTAAAAACATGGAGAGAAAAAAATTAATGAAAGAAAATTGCTGACATTTTAGTAGTGTCCTTGTTTGCCTTATGAAGCTAAAGGGTATTTTTTTCCCTTTTATCTTTGTGTGGTTTTCTAGTTCCATCAGCGAACAAGCATTCTTTTATAATAAACTAATCTACACTGAAAACAAAAAATGAACAATCCCCACCTTTTCTGGTTATTCTGCCTCTTCTGTGGGTTTTATTCTCTGGGCTTTGTATGCTAACTTACAGCAGAACCCCAGCCTTTGTTTCGGTTTTAGAAACAATGATTTTTGCTTTTGTTTTTGTTTTCTTTTACATTTTTGCCATAGGGCTTGTGCACTGTCAAAGGGAGACAGAGAGAGAGAGAGAGAGAGAGAGAGAGAGATCATCCCTCCGGGGGATGGCCACACCACAGTCTCCTCTCCTCCATTCTCCTTTAGGGATTTTGGCCATGTGTGTGCATGCGCTCACCATCGTTTTCAAGTCTCAAGGTTCACGTATCAAACTATGGAGTTGGCCATGTGGAATCAAGCTCTTTAACCACCATGCCAACTGCTGGCCCAGAAACAGTGAGTTTTTAAAATCATCCCTCAGCTATTTCGCTTGTAAAT